TCAGATCCCCACACACTTTTCAAGTCTTGTGTTAACAGTTGTTGGACTAAGTTATTCTACACATCTTGCAGGGTAGCTTCAGTAAATTGCTCCTAGGCCCTCTCAAGGGAAAACCCTGTAAAACCTTCCGCACTTCCAGGGTGTGTCTTCCGCTTCCACAACCTACCTGCTGGTGATGTGTAGGAGCTCTGCACACCAACAACCTCCTTTTCCCCCTCATTGCATCCCAGACTCCCTCCTCTCTTTGAAATGCCAGTGTGGACCCGGGAGCCCAGGGCGGAAGAGAGTGAGTGGTATTCTGCTCCCAGTGTTCAGTGCTCGGATCACTAATCTGCCCAGGTTTTCAGGCAGAGCAGAGAATCTTGGAGAGAAGCAGGAGATGAATGTTCCCCCACACTGTTATCCAGTGGGTTGAACTGGGCAGAAGCATATGGGAGACAGACGAAGCAGTAAGCAAAGTATTATACTGATATTCCTACAAGTTTTACCTTTTTCTCCTCCCTCTTTGGAGACTTAGGGGCTGATCCTGCACCCCCTGAAGTTAAGAACAAGGATCAAACCTTCAGATTTCAAGCAAGCATGGTACTAAGCAAAGCTTTGATTTGCCACACTACCCTTAAGATTTCCTTTGTTATTAGAGAGCCTCGTTCCACCAAGACCAGCAGCTTCTCTTAATATAAATACTTTGTTTTTCAAAGGTGAATTTCAAGCCCTTTCCAAAACATGTGAAATCAGCCCCACTGATAAAGTGATGATGACTTTCATTGGTTTTAATGGATCATGCAGCTAAGTGAGGTGCAGTGTAGTGCTTTAAAAATGTACTCCTTAAAATCCAGAGGACTTTTCTGAAAAAATTCTAACAATGGTGGATTAAGTTTTGAGCAGAAAAACTTAAATCTAAATTTTGTTTTATTTATACTAGTGTAAATCCAGAGTAATTTCATAAATATCAATGGAGTTCACCTGGATTTTACATCATTTTAAATGAGAGCAGAAACACGTCCATAATATTTACAGCTGAAAGTAGAGCTGTGGTTGCCTGAGGTGTGCAACCTGCATCTGACCCAAAATGGATGTCTAATAAGTAGATTGAGGTGTACCTCTTTATATGAACAATAAAGAGTAAAAAGGTTTTTAACAAATTTCAAAAATTATACATTAAAATTATGAAAATTACAAAAATTATGCGTCATTTTCCTTTACTGATGTAAAGAATGTGGACGTGCACAACAAGGAATGTCGATGTGTACCCCAAAATGTGGCTTACGTTGTGGTCTATGGGAATGTCAGGAGAAACAGACAGTTTCAGCATATTCCTCTCAGACCAGTGATTGCAAGTCATTAAGGCTAAACAGGTTATTTTCTTAGATGACCTGCCTGAATCACTGGGAGAGACCAGTCTGAGGCAAAAGGAAGACTTCACATCTGGGTTCTGTAAAAAGACCACTTGGCAATATCGTAATTGGGGGCCAGAATCCCAGAAACTCATATGGAAGGTGCGGTTTTTTTGAGAGAGCCTGTAACAAAGCGGTCTTTGGCAGGACACTACTGAGAGTATCAATTCAGGACAAATTGCTTAGAGCAGGGCAGTCATAGCCCAAGGCTGGGGTCCTTCACTACTAAGGCATGCCAAACCAGCCAAACAGAGAAGACTTCGGTTTTACCCCACTGGCTAACCACAAGTCATACAAGCAACTCCCTCAGACACTTCAGTTTCCCAGTATCACCACCAGCACCGCTCCTTATGGGGATGAATGGTTATGAAAACTAGTAACCCAGTAAAAGAAAAAAGGTTCTCACGATCCCAAAGGGCCAAGCCCCAGACCCAGGTCAATATACAAGTCAGATCTTGCCCACAAATCACACTGTTGCCAGTTATTTAGAATCTAAAATCTAAAGGTTTATTCATAAAAAGAAAGAAATATAGATGAGAGTTAAAATTAGTTACATGGAATCAAATACACAGAACAATTGCAAAATTCTTAGTTCAGGCTTGATGGGATTACTGTTGATTTAAACCAATCATGTCTCTGGAATGCAAACATCCCAGCTTGGATGGGTTGTTCAATCATTTTGTTCAGACCTTCAGTTTCAAGCAAAGTTCCTCCACAGGTGAGAAGCAGTATTGAAGACAAAATGGAGGGGTTTTCAGGGCCTTTTATATCCTCTGCCATGTGGAAGGACCCCTTTGTTCTTCCTGTGGAAAATCACAGCAGCAAGATGGAGTTTGGAGTCACATGGTCAAGTCACATGTCCGTGCATGACTCAGTTTGCAGGCGGCAGCCATTGCTCAGATGCTCCTTGAACATTCCCAGGAAGGCTCCTAAGATACAGATTGGAGTCTCCCAAGGTCCATTGTCAGTTAAGTGTTTCTTCACTGGGCACTTATTCAGAATAGTCCTTTCTTAAAAAGCTGACCAAATGCTTCAGTGATACTACTTAGAATCAAATACATTGAGATACAAGTACATAGCCAATATTCATAACTTCAAATACAAAAATGATACATACATACAGACAGCATAATTATAACCAGCAAATTACAACCTTTCCGTAGACACATTACTTGATCTCCTTTGTACAAGATTTGGTGCAACCTTGGTTGCAACAATGATTTATACTGTCCCAGTTCATGTCAATAACGTCACACAGCCTAACTTTCCTGAAAGGGAAAAACAGACTGAGACACTCTCTGGAAGACAAGTTGGGACCAAGCTGGGACCAAGAGCTTCTTGGTGTCAGGGGGCTTATTCCTTCACTCTCCCACTTCCCTGGTCCTTCTCGCATGAACAGAGAGCAACAATACCCGAAGTCTGAAGGTGCAAACAATTCCATGTTTATTGGGGTAAACTTCCAGCAAGCTTAAATCCAAGTTCCTTTTTTCTTATTTTCAAATCCCAATTTACTTCCTGTTTGCCCCTAATTTAAATAGTTTATACCTTAACCAATCATTCTACTAAAATTTACCTAACCAATCCTAACATATTGTAGCATGATTAGCTAACCAATTATATCCCACTACCTTAATTAGTTTACACCCACCAAAATTAATTATACAGCAGACAGAAACAATCACAGAACCAGACAGAGACCATGCAAATAAACAATAGTAAATAGGGAAGTATAATGACAAAACAATACAGAATTGAGGATTTCACAACTACATCTATAAAGACATAAGGGTTTCCCAGCAGTGTCTATTGATAAGTGAGTTCTTACCAAACAGAAAACTATCAAACTAAATTTCCTTTTACATCTTTTAGGCTCTTCTCTTTATCTGGGGGTGATAGATGGGATCACCTTTTTAACAGCCTGAGATTGCCTTATTTCAGTATGACTAGTTTGGAATGTGAAGATGTGACCGTTCGCTTCCCAGTTTATGGCTGCCTCTGCTGCTTAGCCAAAGGCATTAGCCTAAGAACAGGGCCTCAGACTGTCACAGTGAGAGAAGGCCCTTACACAGATTTCTTTCTTTTATACTTCTATAACTAGCTAAATGATAAACATATACGTAAATTCTTCAAGTATAGGCCTTTACAGACAGGCCTGAATATCTATATCCTAACACTTGGCTTCTTAAAAAGCATGTGTAAATTGGTTCTACGCTTAAAAGGGATACCCATCTAATCTCATTCTTTACTACATGATCTCATGTGCACTCCCACATTCGTCACAACTGCCTGTATACAGATATGAGTTAAAAATCCTCTTATTCTTAATCAAAGTTCTGATTAATGAATATTGCTCTATATTGTATCTAATAATGCTTGAGTCCCCGAGACAGTGCCAGAAACAGGAAGCAGCGGAAAGCTTTTATGAGAATCAATCTGTTGGATATTTCTAACAAGTTATGCAAATTCATTGTTAGAAGTTATCTAGTGATGTTCTTCAGTTATTCAGCATGTTGCTAATCTGCATGCAGTATCGTTTATTACAAGTTATTTTGTTTGGCAGGTTGTTTACAAAGTATATATAATTTCTTCATAGCGCACTTTTTGAAAATTGTTGATGGAATATTTGATGACTTAAGAGTAAAATCTACCATGCTTAAAATGCTTTGTCAAAACCCTTTGGGGAAACGAAGTATTTGTAAACATGCATCACATTCTGCATGGCATGGACATTGTTTTGTATTTAATTGGTGTAATTACTTGTTTCACAATTAAGTAAAAGTTTAAAGATATAGGCAGATTTCTGTTGAGGAAAATGCCATGTGTCTCTGAGTATTTGGGGTAGGCGACATCATTAGTCTCCCACCTCACCACCCTGTGCTTCCCCTCCCCACTGCACTTTTTACTCCCCTTTTCTTCCAGATTAGAAGTCTCTATGTGTCAGCCTTATAGCTATGTTTCAGAGTAAGTAATCTGTTTCAGAAAGGGGCTGTTGACATAGTTAATCCCTTCTAAGAATCTGTAGATTATAAAGCCTATCTGAAACACATTCATTGTATAATGAAGTACATGCCACATGGTGCTACACACACTGTAAGTGTTCTGCTTTTTAAAGTGCCCACTCTTTATCCACTTGTAGATTTTTTTTAAGGAATCATAAACTGTGCTGTTAGTAGGACTTTTGTGGCCCATAGGACCTTTAAAAAGCCTCTTCTAATTCCTCAGACTGTAGGGTTCCTTAAAAGGTGTTGCCCTGGCCATTTAAAGAGACAGCTTCACAGATTACAGAATCTGTCACAGAAAAGACGTACATGAGAATTTCAGAAAGTGACAAAAAGAACGGTTAAATTGATATTTTAATGTGATAGTTCACAAACTTCTCCATTCTGTGAATGGACGTTAGAACAGAAAAACGTTTTGATGAGACTGTCTGAACCTGTTTGCTGCCCCTCTCTAGATCGTGGCACCTCCCAGGTTAAGAATCCATGTTTTAGTCTGAAGAATAAAAGTGCAGCAATATGGTCAATAGAGATCACTATCAGAACATTCATTTTACTAGAGGTTTACTGGATGTTCTCAGCATAATTTTACATTTTTTTTTAATTTAAGGGAAAAGAGGCCAAAACATCAGAATGGGGACCATGAAAATCTGATGAATGTGGTAAATATTATTTATGTATTACAGCTTGTGTCTTTCTAATGCTTTGTAATCAGCCCTTTTCCTGAGCCTGGGCATACAAAATAAAATATTGCAGGTGAGAAGACAGAAATAGACCTATTTTAGACCTAGGTTTAGGGGAGTTAATGGGAGGATTTGTGAGGTGGGTACAGTTAATTCCCCTTAATAGTAATCCTGATATTAGCAACTTCCAGTTAATGGCAACATATTGCTGGGAACCAATCCCATCCCATTAACATCAGCGTTGACGGGATTCTGATATTATCAATGGCATGCCACTTATTAGCAACTTTTCTTGGAAGAAAGGCGCCACCTGCAGCCCCAGAAGGGAGCAATGGGATGTGCTGAGCACCCCCTGCAGGCAGGTTTGTGAGGCTACAGTCAGGGAAGGAAGTGCTGGGTTGTGTCTTCTCTGGCTGCAGCCCCGCAAACCTGCTTGTGGCTGGTGCTCGGCACATCCAGCACTTCCTTCTGGGGCCTGCAGCCCAACAAACCTGCCTGCACAAGGTGACCATACAGGACGTAAGGGTTTGGAAGGGAGGCTGTGGGCCGGGGCAGTCATGGAGTGGGGGACTGCAGCCCAGCAAATCTACCTGCACACAGGGACACTCAGGAGGTAAGAGGCTGCAGGCTGGGAGGGGAGGCCATGGGCAGAGCAGTAGCAGGGAAAGGGGCTGCAGCCCGAATGCCACAGCAGCATGGTACTGCTCTCTGGGCTGCACCTTGCTGGGGGACTGCATGCAGGGAAAGAAGCACTGGGATGTGGTGAGCCCCAGCCCCAAGAGAGTTCAGTTGGGTGCACAGGGGTGAGGCAGCATCTGCGATATCAGGCAGTATCCTGAGGCTTTAGCACGTCCAGCATAGTAAATGACAAGGTGATGTCCCAACATTTAATGCTTACCTTTGAATTTTTATTGCATGGACTTAAGTCAGACTTAATTCAACTTATGCAGTGATGACATAAATAACAATGCTAGTTTCACGCTGAACATAAATTGGTCAGAAAACAGGTGTGTGTACTGGTCGCCATTAAAAAGTCAACCTTTACTTAAAATCATCACATAGGGATATCAAAGAAAGTGCAGTCATTTTGTATTTTAATATTGTGGTAGATAAGATACCTCCGTGTGGCAACTGAAGGTAAATGTTAACTTTTCACTGTGCAACAGTTTCTGATTTTATTTACGCAGACTAGCTCCATTGAGTGCAGTAGACTTACTCCTGATTTGCACATGATAGCTTAGAGTACAGTTGTATCCTGTACATGGCAAAGTACAATAGTATAACTTGTGGGAATTTGTCAGTCTATGTGCAAAATAAATGTAATTTACACACTGGCCACACAGTAGCAAAAGCGGCGAAGAAGAATGGCAGCTTGGTGGGCTATTTTCTCTACACCTTCCTATTAGTAGCTTTTCCTGCTACCCTAAACCCCATGACTTCCACTTTTTCCGCACTCAGTATGGAAATTACACTTGCTTTGCACACCCACTAACATCTATTTTTGACCAATTTATACTACAGAACATTACCAGTGAGTTTGGAATAGAGATTTCCATGAGAGTTATGTCTGCTTTATTCTTGGCTGAACTTCACAGTATAATTAGATGCAGTTAGTGTTTTAATATAGCATATGCACAAAGACTTTAATATATAAGGCCTGATTCTAATCTTACACCAGTTTTATACCCGATACAGAGCAGTGTGAGATCAGAATCAAATTTATAATACGTGTATGCAGTAGCAATATGTGTATCAGTGTAAACAGATTTGTGTCCAGTTTCAAATTAACTGGACTACATTCACAGTATTATTTTGCAATATAGTTTATCTCTTGCTCTACTTAAATGGTAGGTAATCCTTCAGATTTTGTTTTCCAGCCTTCAGATAAGGAGATGTTCAGCCATTCCATCACAAGTCTGGCTATAGATCCTCTTGTCAGCAGTGACCAGAATGGGGGACTAAGTAATGGGGATGGTAAGTACTGCAGTACTTTGAAAAGGAAAGGGAAAGAAATACCCTACTCTCTAATTAGTTTCTTTTGTATAGCATCCTTTATATCTGCTTCACTTTGTGCAGTCTCTTAGCCCCATCCTGAAAATATCCACATGCTTACCTTTATGCATGTGAGTAATGCCATTGACTTTAATAGAACTATTCACATGAGTAAAGCTAAGCACATGTGTAAATGTTTGCAAAATCAGCACCTGCAGCTGTAAACTCTTTAGGGAAGGAATTATCCCTTCTTTTAGATTTCAGCAGCACAAAGGCACATTTTGGGCAGGATGGGAAAAGAAATTATAAATAATGACAATGTACAAAGCTGTCCTGATACCAGAATCATTTGAACACACTATATGGTCAGTAGTTTGGAAAAAAAAACAAAACAACTTTCTTGTTCACTTGAACATATTTTTATATTTTAGAAAACTGAAACATGAATAAGCTTTTTTTTAATTCCTCTTGCTTTGCTGAACACTCAGAATGATTCACACTCATGTAACACCAGAAAATATTGTACTCAGTTGAAACTAAAAATAAACATGCTCCTAATACAGAGCTCCGAGGGGCCAACTGTTTTTTTCTCTCTGGGTTAACCACTGACAACCTGGGCTGCATTCCCTAGTTTACAGCTAAACCCCTAATCTCACTGTGAGGCTGTAAACTAATCCGTTAAACCTTTAGCACTCAAAAAACAATTAACAAAAGGAATTTTGAAACCTAGTCTTTTTTATGGCTGATCCCCATTCCCTCATATTGGTTGGTGTTTCACATTTAGGTGTATTTACCTCACAGAGTGACTTAATACACTGAGTAGGCCCAGCAAAGCCAGAAGGGGAGTATTTACAAAAGCTTCCATTGGAAAGTGCATGCAACTGACACACAAATTTCACAGTTTAGGTATAAGTTGCCCTTTAAATAGCATGGACAGATTTGTTTTAATTTGTTATTTGTGAGGTCTTTCGTGGCTCTGTCTGCTGCCCCGCTGATGTTTGTGTGGATCTTTTCAGCAAGGGAGCATGGTCAGTTTCAGGCCTGAGAGCAGCACTGCTTAAGGTACTCAGGTTTGTCCCTCTTTCCTCCCCCTGCTTCCACTCTCTGTGCACACTTGCTACCTAGCCAGCCTCTTCACTTTCAATGGCCTTGGCAACAGCAGCATAGGGATGAGCTTTCAAACTTCCAAACTGTCCCACCCCATTTCCCAGTCCTTGCCTGGTTCCTGGTGCTGCCCAGGAGCTGCATCCTGGGAGTGAAAAACACCCTACCAGATTCCCATTGGCCCCTGCACAGGGCTTGAGTTGAAGGAGAAGAAGGTTCCACTTCTGCTCTTTACCCAATTCCTGTTGTTCCCTGGCTTTGTTCAGGGATCCCAGGAGGGAAAGGAGACTTCCTGACACCATCACTCCCAGCCTGAAACTCAGAAACATCTTCAATTATGTTGCTGTGCTACAGGTAAACATCCTCTTGTTGGGCTGGGGCAAAAGTGTACGCCCAGAGCAGGGTGTGAAAGCGGTCATCATACTTGTGCACGGCAAAGAAAGTAGAGCTGACAACCAGCAAAATCAGTGACACTTCTTACAACAAAGTGCAGTCAAATCCACACATTAGACTGGAAAAATGGAGGAAAATACCACTTTCTTTCTCTTCTTTTTTTGAGCTTTTGTCAGTGTGAAGTGTTACTAGAAGCTAGTAAGTAAAAGAACTTCACAGAGAAATTATTTTCATGTAGATGTCCCTTATAAAAGCACACGATAAAATCTGGAAAGTGTTTGTATGGATATGTGTATATATCCGACTCCAGCAAACTGCAGTGCATACCCACATGTGCACAACCAGATACTGAGATCTGTAAATTCCATTCCAGGAGTGTTCTCTTTGAAAATAACAACTTATTGTAACCCGCATCTGAAAACATGACATGTTCTGCTTAATAAAACAGCTTGCCCTTTTTTTTCTTTTCTCCCCCCCCCCATCTAAGATGGACTACCTTATTTGTGACTGAGTTACTAGAAATCCCTCATTTGTAGAACTAAAGGTTGTCAGTTCATATTATGCATTACAATATTAAGAAAAGTACTTCAATAAGGAACTTGTGGAGTAATGAATGTGCTCTGCAACCCAGCTGACTTCAGTAGGGTTGCACAAGGTGTGGGTCAGGTCAGAATTAGGCCATTCTGTTCAAGTGAGGGCCTTTCTATTTGTGTCAGAGAAATGAGCAAACAGAAATCAAATATCCAACAGGACTTTTCAAAAGGAACAGTAGCTGAGTCCAGGATCCTCACCAACATCTTCACTCTTAACCCCAACAGTCTCTAATATGCAAAAATGGATACCAGCCATTTTTGAGAACATTTCATATGTTGCATCTACTCGCCCGTTCCCTGGGCTCACTATGAGCATTGCTGCTGTGTAAAGTGTTTTGAGATTCATTGCATAAATACTATACTGCAAAACCAAACTATCTTATCTGGTAAGTACAGCAATGTCTTTTTATTTAAAACCTGAGAATACTGTGAATGCCAGAGAATTCCAAGTTATCTTTTCTCACTGTAAATAGCAAATAGTAATGCAGAAACAAAGTAGGTCATATGCTTATTTAATCTAACCTTCCTGAAGTCAGGGAGAGTTGGTAAATTATTCTGTTTTATTTTTTTGTAGTTCTCTCAGAAGACAGCACAACTGCCTGCATCCAACCTTATGAAGAAGTACAAACTTCTGTTTCTGATCTGTTAGACCATCAGGACCCTCTGGGAAAGTCGATAAAATGTCACCAGAGCAGGGAGCTACCCAGAATTCCTCCTAATGATGCCATGGAAACCATCCTCTCCCCAAGAAATATCGAAAATGATCAGGGTCTTGGAATGGAAGGGCCTTATGAGGTCTTGAAAGATAGCTCCTCTCAAGAAAACATAGTTGAAGACTGCTTGTATGAAACTGTGAAGGAAATTAAGGAGGTAGGAGTAGCAGCCAACACTGAGAGAGGCTGTGGCAGCAAACCAAAGTGTACACTGGCAGTTGCTGAAGATCTAGACCAGGTTCCTGAGTGCAGGACTGAATCAGCAGAATATGCCTCTGTTGACCGAAATAAAAAAAGTCGGCAAAGTACTAATTCAGAGAGTCCTCTTGGCAACACTCCAGACATGGAAGATGAGGCTCCACCTCCCGTACCTATGAAATTTCTTGATGAAAACGAGAACGTTCAGGAAAAGGGAGCAGAGGAGGAAGAAGAGGTGACTGAGGGGGCTGGTGAACCTGATAAGGTAAACCCTATACTGACAATTGTATAATGACAGAAAAAAGACCCTATGTACATAGATGATGGTCATAGAGCTGAAAGTTTAAAAATCATCCTTTATTTTAGAGAACATATTTAAATTAAGGTCATGCATTACTGTGAAATAGTGTAGGTGTGAAGCATACACTCCAGTCTCTCTGGTGAGGGCAGTTATCCATACCATCCTGACCTCCAGATTGGAGTCCAGCAGTGTGCTTTACTTGGGGCCACTCTTAAAGGCTACTCAGAAATTGCAGGTAGTACAAACTGCTTTTGCCTGCATCTTCAGGGGTGTTAGATGTATAGAAGCTATCACACTAGTTCTCTAAAGGCTGCACTGGCATCCTGTTCATTTCTGTGACTCAGGATCTTTTTCCTTTAGTTTTTGCTAATAGCTTATGCAAACAATACCTAGATGTACAAAATGGAGAGCATGGCTTCTTGGTAGAAGCCATTCTTACTTTGGAATGCACTTCCCGTGTTGGTTTAACAGCAGTCCAAGAAAAGTTTACAGGCAGGTATGATGAGGCCCAGTCCTGAAGTTCTTGCAGTCTAGAGGCCAGGTTCTCTGTTGTGTCTAAGGCCTGGTCGACGCTACGAGTTCAGGTCAAATTTAGCAGCATTATCTCATTTTAACCCTGCACCCATCCACATGACAAAGCCCTTTTTTTTCACTTAAAGGGCTCTTAAAATCGATTTCTTTACTCCACCCCCGACAAGGGGATTAGCACTGAAATCGGCCTTGCTGGGTCGAATTTGGGGTACTGTGGACGCAATTCGACGGTATTGGCCTCCGGGAGCTATCCCAGAGTGCTCAGTTGTGACTGCTCTGGACAGCACTCTCAACTCAGATGCACTGGCCAGATATACAGGAAAAGGCCCGCGAACTTTTGAATTTCATTTCCTGTTTGACCAGCATGGCGAGCTCACCTGCACCAGCTCACCATGCAGAGTTCATCATCACAGGAGACCATGCAGTCCCAGAATCTCCGAAGAGCTCCAGCATGGACTGAACGGGAGGTACAGGATCTGATCGCTGTATGAGGAGACGAATCGGTGCTGGCAGAACTCAGTTCAAAAAGGCGAAATGCCAAAATTTTTGAAAAGATCTCCAGTGGCATGAAGGACAGAGGCTATAACAGGGACCCGCAGCAGTGCCGCATGAAAATTAAGGAGCTCAGGCAAGCCTACCAAAAAACCAGAGAGCCAAACGGCTGCTTCGGTTCAGAGCCCCAGACATGCTGCTTCTATGATGAGCTGCATGCCGTTCTAGGGGGATCAGCCACTACTACCCCAACCCTGTGCTTTGACTCCATCCAAGGAGTGGGAAGCAACACAGAAGCGAGTTTTGGGGGCGAGGAAGATGAGGAGGAGGAGGAGGCTGTAGATAGCTCACAGCAAGGAAGCAGAGAAACCAGTTTCCCCAACAGCCAGGATCTGTTTATCACCCTGGACCTGGAGTCAGTACCCCCCGAACCCACCCAAGTTGGGCTCCCGGACCCTGAAGGCGGAGAAGGGACCTCTGGTGAGTGTACCTTTGTAAATATTATACAAGGTTTAAAAGCAAGTGTGTTTAATGATTAATTTGTCCTGGCATTCGTGGCCAGTACAGCTATTGGAAAAGTCTGTTAACGTGTCTGGGGATGGAGCGGAAATCCTCCAGGGACATCTCCATAAAGCTCTCCTGGATGTACTCCCAAAGCCTTTGCAAAAGGTTTCTGGGGAGGGCAGCCTTATTCCGTCCTCCATGCTAAGACACTTTACCACACCAGGCCAGTAGCACGTCGTCGGGAATCATTGCAGAACAAAGCATTGCAGCATATGGTCCCGGTGTTTGCTGGCATTCAAACAACATCCGTTCTTTATCTCTCTGTATTACCCTCAGGAGAGTGATATCATTCATGGTCACCTGGTTGAAATAGGGTGGTTTTAGTAAGCGGACATTCAGAGGTGCCCATTCCTGCTGGGCTGTTTGCCTGTGGCTGAACAGAAATCTTCCCCGCTTTTAGCCACGTGGTGGGGGGAGGGTGAAGCCGTCATCCCAAAGAATTGGGTGTGGAGGGGGCGGGGGGTGTTAGTTGAGTTTCTGCTGCACATGAACCTGAAAACTGTAGCCCCTCCTTTCAAATTGCCAACCCATTTTTAATGGCCAACCCAACGGCTACTTGGTATGGGAAATGAGGGTGCTGCTGTTTGAAACCATTCCCATATGTTATGAAGGTTAAAGAAGCCAAAAGACTGTGGCTTACCATGGCTGCCTGCAAGCCGAATTCTGCTGCCCAGCCCTGCATGAGAGATCTCTCACACCAAACTGGCATACCCTCAATAAGAGGCAAAATGCGACCTTGTAATGAAAGCACATGTGCTATGTAATGTTAACAGCAAGGTTTACCATCAAAGAGTGTACACATTGTTCTATAAAATGTGTCTTTTTAACTGCCACTCTCCCTTTTTTTTCCTCCACCAGCTGCATATGTTTCTCCTTCCTAGAGGCTAGCAAAGATTAGAAGGCGAAAAAATCGCACTCGTGATGAAATGTTCTCTGACTTCATGCTGTCCTCACACACTGACAGAGAACAGCAAAATACGTGGCGGCAGACAATCTCAGAGTGCAGGAAAACACATTATGACCGCGAGGAGAGGTGGCGGGCTGAAGATGGTAGGTGGCATCAGCTTGCTGAAAGAAGGCAGGAGTCAATGCTCAGGCTGCTGGAGGATCAAACTCATATGCTCCAGCATATGGTTGAGCTGCAGGAAAAGCAGCAGGAGCACAGACCGCTGCTACAGCCCCTGTGTAACCAACCGCCCTCCTCCCCAAGTTCCATAGCCTCTTCACCCAGACGCCCAAGAACACGGTGGGGGCCTCAGGCCACCCAGCTACTCCACCCCAGAGGATTGTCCAAGCAAGAGAAGGCTGGGATTTAATAAGTTTTAAAGTGCTGTGTGGCCTTGTCCTTCCCTCCTCCTCCACCCCACCCGGGCTACCTTGGCAGTTAGCCCCCTATTTGTGTGATGAATAAATAAAGAGTGCATGAATGTGAAGCAACAATGACTGTATTGCCTCTGCAAGTGGTGATCGAAGAGGGGAGGGGAGGGGAGGGTGCTTAGCTTACAGGAAAGTAGAGTGAAACCAGGGCTGGGGGGGGTCCATCAAGGAGAAACAAACAGAACTTTCATACCGTAGCCTGGCCAGTCATGAAACTGGTTTTCCAAGCTTCTCTGATGCGTACCGCGCCCTCCTGTACTATTGTAACCGCCCTGGTGTTTGGCTGCGCGTAATCAGTGGCCAGGCGATTTGCCTCAACCTCCCACCCCGCCATGAATGTCTCCCCCTTACTCTCACAGATATTATGGAGCGCACAGCAAGCAGTAATAACAATGGGAATATTGGTTTCACTAAGATCTAACTGAGTCAGTCAGTAAACTGCGCCAGCGCGCTTTTAAATGCCCAAATGCACATTCTACCACCATTCTGCACTTGTTCAGCCTACAGTTGAACAGCTCCTGACTGTCCAGGGTGCCTGTGTACGGCTTCATGAGCCATGGCATTATGGGGTAGGCTGGGTCCCCAAGGATAACTACAGGCATTTCAACTCCCCAGTGGTTATTTTCTGGTCTGGAAAGTAAGTCCCTTGCTGCAGCTTTTGAAACAGACCAGAGTTCCTGAAAATGTGAGCGTCATGTACCTTTCCCAGCCATCCCACGTTGATGTCGGTGAAACGTCCCTTGTGATCCACCAGTTCTTGCAGCACCATTGAAAAGTACCCCTTGTGGTTTATGTACTCGCTGCTTTGGTGCTCTGGTGCAAAGATAGGGATATGGGTTCCGTCTATCACCCCACCACAGTTAGGGAATCCGATTGCAGCAAAGCCATCCACTATGACCTGCACCTTTCCCAGAGTCATTACCCTTCATATCAGCAGCTCAGTGATTGAGTTGGCTACTTGCATCACAGCAGCCCCCATAGTAGATTTGCCCACTCCAAATTGATTCCCAACTGACCGGTAGCTGTCTGGCATTGCAAGCTTCCACAGGGCTATCGCCACTCGCTTCTCAGCTGTGAGGGCTGCTCTCATCTTGGTATTCTTGCTCTTCAGGGCAGGGGAAAGCAACTCACAAAGTTCCATGAAAGTGCCCTTACGCATGCGAAAGTTTTGCAGCCACTGGGAATCGTCCCAGACCTGCAACACTATGCGGTCCCACCAGTCTGTGCTTGTTTCCCAGGCCCAGAATCGGCGTTCCACGCCATGAACCTGCCCAATTGACACCAGGATGTGCACATTGCAGGGGCCCGTACTTTGTGAGAAGTCTATGTCCATGTCCTAATCACTCTCGTCACTGTGCTGCAGTCGCCTCCTCCTCGCCTGGTTTCACTTTTCTTGCAGGTTATGGTTCTGCATATCCTGCTGGATAATGCGTGCGGAGTTTATAGTGCTCATAATTGCCGTGGTGATATGAGCGGGCTCCATGTTCCCAGTGCTACGGCGTCTGTGCTGAAAAAAGGCACGAAATGATTGTCTGCTGTTGCTCTGACAGAGGGAGGGGTGACTGACAACATGGCTTACAGGTTTGGCTTAGAGAGAATTAAAATCAACAAAGGGGGTGGCTTTGCATCAAGGAGAAACAGAATGGCCCCCTCAAGGGTAGAACTCAAAACCCTGGGTTTAGCAGGCCGTTGATTTCACGGAGGGAGGGAGGAAGAGAGGAGAAAATGAATACAAAACAAATCTGGTCTATTTCTTGTTTAGATTCACTTCATCTATCTTTATACATCTTGCTGGCAGCAGACGGTGCAGTACGACTGCTGGCCATCATCATCTCCAGTCTCCTGGGTGCTCGGCAGAAGACAGTGCAGTCTGACTGCTGGCCATTGTCGTCTCCTGGCTGCTCATTAGAAGATGCTGCAATAGGACTGCCAGCAGGACTGAATCGCCAAGAGACGAAACTTAAAAGGGAAATGACCTGGCTGAGTCACTCCCATGTTTG